GGGAGAGGCCGCCCTAAGAAAAGGTGGATGGATTGTGTGAAAGATGATATGAATAAAAGAAGAGTATGCTCAGATATGACGACCAATAGAGAGCAGTGTAAGAGAATGACATACTGCGCCGACCCCAAATAATGGGATAAAGGCAAGGCAATGATGATGAATTAATTTTTGTAGCCAGGCAAGGCAAAGGTTTTTGGACTATACATTGTATACATTGAGTTCAGTATAGTGTATTAGTTGAAATTTCTCGCTACGCGACTCTAATAATTAAAGATTGCACAGAATAATGACTAAAGCTTTTATTATGACAACTAAGCTGGCGATTTAGACAAAGTAGGAAGAATGGAAAATATCTGTAAATTAGGTAATTGATCAGTGGACTGTTTGAGACAAAGTAGATGTTTAGCCTTATAATTAGTTAAGTAAAAAATTGAGTATTTCTTGTCGAAAGCGAGACCAAGAGACCTAAAAATGGTCGTCAGAGTACTGACGTAACTGAGTATTGAAGTGCTTATACAATACAAAACTATTCTAAGACAATTAAAAGAAGCGACTTTTATACCATTTAATTTTGGGAAAAAAATCAGGACCTTCAGCAAAAATTTGGACGTCTAGCAACGCTGGTCACACCCTAAATATCTTTCATCTAAGACCAATAAACAAAGCAGCTTGTTCTAGGATCTTCATGTGTCGTAACGTAATCCCTGAGAACTACGTATTGTGTTCTCACACCCTATAATTTTACTACACTAAGTCATTACATTCTTGATTTTAAAATCAAAACACAACCTGTAGAGTAATCTTTTCAATTTATTAGTATTGCCATTCCTGAGGACTACTCTGTCATATCACTACACTGTTGACTCTTCAAACCAAATCGAGCTTACAAAATTAACAGCAACAATATTTGCACACGAGTTTGTATAAAGCCTATCTCGTTAAAAAAATATTAGTTAGTTTAGTGAACCGTATTGTTAATGACATAGTGAAGTAGGTATGTCTTCAGAGCCAAGTTTTTTATATATACATACCTAATATCATTATAAAACTTTAAGATTATTATTAATTAAAAGTATACAATACATTTTTTTAATTTAGATAGATACTTATATTTCTGTTATAAGTATCTAAATAAAAAAATGTACTGTATAATTTTAATTATATAATATCCATACTTCAAAGTTATCCAGACAACCATATTTAATAAACATAACGTAACTTAATCATATTAATAAAAAAATGGGGCACCACTGCTCAGCAGATTGACAAAGACAAAGACAAATTGACAAGACTGTTAACTCACAGAAAGAATTTAGGGGTATTCCGAATTCGAAGGTATAACATTCGAATTTCTCTCAACTGAGTTACCATGATTAAAGTTGGGTTGCAACCTGTCATATATATTTAAAAAATGGGAGAAATTTTCTAAAGTTCAGTTCGATCAAGATTTTCTGGTAAGGGTTCGAGGGATCCCTGAGCATAACGGCCCCGAGGTATTCAAATTCAAATTCAAATTCAAAAATCATTTATTCATGTAGGACATTTTAGCCGCTTATGAACGTCAAATTTTTACATTCTAATTTTATTTTTTTTCCCTACCATCCAGTTCGGTATATAGATCCAATTGAGAAGAACTGGCAAGAAACTCAATTGAATTACTTTTTTTTTTTTAAAGCCAGTTTATTTACAATGTATATTTATATAGGTGTCTATGTCTAACATTAAATGAAAATTCAGTGCATGAACAACTATTGCCATGCACACTCGTCATTCAAGTAATCGTTTAGTGAGTAATAGGCTTTGCTCAGTAAATATGATTTAGCAGATGTTTTGAATTTATTTAAGGGTAATTCCAACATATCCTTTGGTATTTTATTGTAAATTTTTATACCTATTCCCATAAAAGACCTATTAACTTTTTCTAAACGATACTTGGGGACAGCAAGTTTGTCTTTAAATCTAGTATTAATATTATGAATATTGCTGTTTTTTGGAAATAAGTCAAGATTTTTATGAACATATAGGATATTTGAATATATAAATTGAGAAGCAACGGTGAGAATATTTGCCTCTTTGAATTTCTCTCTTAATGAGTCACGACTCTTCATACAGTAGATCGCTCGAACGGCACGTTTTTGTAATATGAATATATTTTTAATATCTGCCGCTTTTCCCCATAGTAATATTCCATAAGAAAGTAAACTATGAAAATAACTAAAATAGACCAATCTAGCAGTATCAGTATCAGTGTACTGTCTAACTTTACACACGGCAAAAGCTGCTGAACTTAGTTTCGCTGCAAGGCTTTGAATTTGTGCACCCCATTGTGTTTTATTATCTAGTGTGATTCCTAGAAAGACAGTAGATTCTATAAAATCGAGAGATTCGTCATTTAATTTTATGTTGCAATTAGTATTTAAACTTTTAGACAGAGAAAAATTAATACATTTTGTTTTTTTAGCGTTTAACATAAGATTGTTAGTTGTAAACCAGTGCAGGCGACGCCGCAAAGCACTATTTACATCGTCATAATTATTAGTCATTCTATTAACTTTAAAAATCAATGAAGTATCGTCTGCAAATAATACTACGCCGCATCTATCCTGCATGGCATATGGGAGATCATTAATGTAAACAAGGAATAAAAATGGACCGAGAATAGATCCTTGAGGTACACCCATTTGCACAAGTGACCCGTCAGACGTAGCGTTGCTAACCTTCACTTTCTGTATTCTATCACATAGATAAGATTTTATTAAATTTAAAGCATTGTCTTTGACGCCATAAAAAGCAAGTTTTTTTAGCAATGTATTATGATCAACGCAATCAAAAGCCTTAGAAAGGACACAAAAAACACCTATCGCATCCATTTTAGTTTCCCATGCAGCAAATACGTGTCTAAGCAACTCTGCACCTGCGTCTGTAGTTGAACGACCTTTGGAAAAACCGATATTAACAACAAAAACCGATATATTGCCACAGACTTAGTATAGCTGTAAAGAGCACAAATAATAGAATGAATGCAATGATGATGATACTAAGCTAAACTATTACATTCTATTAGTGTCATCTAATAATATAAAATTCTTTGTCTTAAACTGTTGGAACATAGACAACACAAGACATTTGTTTCTTAGACGTGACTGAGGAGCTCCTCAATAAACTCGAGCGCTTACAAAATTTAGCCATCAGATTTATTTTCAGTTTACGTAAATACGATCACGTCTCTGAATTTCGCGCTCGTTTAAAGTGGCTCCCAATCCGCCTTCGACATAATATGCACAGCCTGACCATGCGCTATAACATCCTTAATAATCCCAATGCTCCTGCTTACCTTAAATCCCGCTTTCAATTCTTGCCCCCTCCTACTAGACCGAGATGTCTTTGCCAAAACCACTCCAAAATGTTAAAACTTCCACTTGGCAAGTCTCGTTTCTTAGGAAATTCCTTTTCATTTCGCGCTGCTCGGTTATGGAACAAACTACCAGTACAGATACAGGAAAGTCCATCTATTGGTTGTTTTAAGAAAAGGTTGAAATCGCACTATTTATCGACCTTAGTATGATTAGTTTCATCATGTATTTTATTATTTGTATTTTGTGTAATATATGTAGTATATGTAGTAATTGTATATGTATGTATATATATATATAACTTTTATTAATGTTTATTTTATTTATTATTGTATATTTTATTATAATTATAATACAATTAGAACTTTATTTAATTTGTTGAACTTTAAATGTTTTATTTTTCTCAACTTTTGGACATTTCAACATAATAGTGTTAATTGCACAGGTGTTACCTACTCACTACTAGCTATGCCACATTGTTGGGTTGACTGGTAGAGATCTCTCTTAGAGATAAAACCATCTTTGCTCACTTTGTATATATTTAAGTTTAGAACTGTATTTAAAAGTGCAATAAAGAATATATATAATATAACATAATAGTGTATTAGGTAGTAGCACAGATAACATAATATGTAGTAGTGATATAGTGGGGGGAAGGAGACTAAGGAGATTAGTAATGTGGACTGGTGATCCCAATTGTTAGCAATGAACCGTGTCAGATTGACCTCCACGCAGTTCCCCCCGGAAACTGTCATGTCATATTCCTGGCAAATTTGCAGCGATGGGCTAACTGACTTCATCTCATCATCCTTCACTGGTGCCCCGCCAGCGTCTAACGTTCGTGCAGGTGGGTGCACCATTTCATTATCAAACATAAAAAAAATCAGGGTAGGCTGTGTATATAAGTACATAGAGCACAATATAAGTAGTAAACAACTTCTGTGTTAGTACGTATATGAGATTTATGTTTATTATCATGGCTTAGTAGTACTATCCTGACTTAAAATTAAAAGGGAGGATAGGAAAAAAGAAAGGGAGGAGGGATTACAAATCTGGCTGAAGCCTTTGTATATATTTCTATAACAGATTCTCTGGTAAAGGGAATTTAATGTGAAATAAAAAAATAATTTGAGGTAGGGTTGCTCCTTGCTACGTTGTGTACCTACCAACAAAATGTCAAATGTCAGGTGTTGCGTCCAATATCTTTGGCTACCCCATCGGGAATAATATTTGTGATGATATATATATATACTTTATGTAGGTACAATTGGTGTTAGGGTTGTACCTATAACGTGTTTACTTACTTATTCAATTATAAAGCAGACTGTAAATAATCAGATTACATATAACATCAAGTTTAGGTATACCTATATATATAGTAGTAAATACTTTCAACAAGTAATTCTGCTTACTAAATTCTAAACAATATAAAAGGTTGTTAAAGGCGGACAACATAAAAATGAAAGAGTAAAAGTTCAAATGACGCTCTTGCATCAGTATATTCTGACGAAATATTTACAAAGAAAATTATAACAAAAGCACATCCATCTATTCAGAGATAAAAAATGCAATTTATTACAATTACTGTCTAATATAGATAAACATAGATAGATAAACATAACGTAGGATAATGTTCCGCTGGTTCGGTTTTTATCTTATATATCCCACTTTTAAGTAGGTATTTATTTGGTTTGTTGATCGGTTATTCATATTATTTAAAAGTGTCAAGAAATAATTTTATGTGTGTGAGATTTACGTTATTATTAATCAATCAATGAATTTAAAAACTCAAACCACGTTTTTATTTATGCAACATTCATATATAACAATGGAAAATATGTTTACAATTGTTAGTAGGAGATCATTTATTGTTTCTAGGAGAGAAAATGAAAATTTGTAGGCAGAATTTGCTTCTTGTTTCAATTATTAGTAAAAATTTTGTGATAAGTTTCAATCGTAATTGATGGTGTCTATCATATGGATCTTGTTATTTATTTATTTATTTACGAATCCTTAACGGATTGACAAACTAACTTATGAAGTCTCAACACATCACAAATATGTATATGGTAACAATACAAAAAGCACAACCTGAAAATTATGTTATAGTGCAATAGGTACAACAATTAGGATTGCGTCATATGTTTAAAGTAACGAGAAATAATTTTTGATTACAACTTATAAATCTACAAAACTATTATAAAGGAGTTTTTGGCTATCGAGCAAAAAGTCCAGCATTTAGAACTTGATACCAAAATATCATAATATCAAAATATGACCAATTCTGTATAAAATTATAAATTTCACGCATCTTTATAAATACCTTAATACTTATCTACATCCTAAAGAAAAGTTATAACTTTTCTTACTGATAGGAAATTTCAGAAAAAGCAACAATATGTTTCAAATTAGGAATTTTCACACTACATTATAAGTACTTAGATGAATTATCTAAATTGATCGATCGATTACAATCGAGAGTAGACAGTCTTTCCTTATATATATTACTATATAAATAAATTCATATAATTATGATGTACATATATATTGCAATTTTTGCTTTTTAGTTAGTATTCAAGTTTGTATCTAATATATCATAGAAGAAAAGGCCATCCAGCGCTTTACCTAGTACCTACTCAAAGGATTTTATCCATTTTTCTAACCGTCTCTTGTAAAGAATAGTTACATATTATTTTTTCCTACTCCTATAAGACTTCCATTGTCATGCCAATCGATAAATATATTAATGATATCACTTGTAGCCATTTCCATTGTATATTTGAATAATTTAAACACCTACACTGAGACCTACAATGTTAACTAGATTGTTATTATTGGTCCGGTGTGGTGATTACAGCCTAAATATTTTATTAAATCAATAGATGATTTAGTAAGCAACGAAACAAACTGAACACGCAATGTAAGTTTTGAACCATATTGTGATGCAATAAGGTCCATTGGTGTTCAGTTATTTTTGTTACTGACTACACTTATGTAGGTACTTATATTAAAACGCAAAAACATCAAAAATGTTAAAACAGAACTGTAGTTGCAAAATGTAGAGAAATTAATAAAGGGGAGTATCTGTTCATTTATATATACATATTATAACTCACTGTATTTGCTGAGTGAGTTCCGATGTATTGTAATATCACTAAGTTTTTTGTAGCTATAATATATACAATTTTAGGATAGAACATGACTTTATTAAAAAATAGATATTGTTTTAGAAATTGAACAAGTCACTGGGCAGGCACATAACACTTTTATTTCATAATGTTTACAAGTACTTAATATTCCATATACCAACAGATATAAAAGTTATCATTACCAATTGGCATATAAAGTATAGTCAACTTTATTAAAAAATATTAGAAGTGATATGTTTTGTACTCATTACATATATAATATGTATATGAGTATATAAAAAGATACACACACGAGAAAATTTCTACACTACCTATCTAGAAGGTACTCTTTAAGACACAATGGATTTAGGAGTTATATTAGTGTATGCTGAACTTTTTCTCTAGCCGATTTTTTATTATAACAAATTACATTAACGTCCTAGCGTCTAAAATTATTTATAAAATAATTTAAACCTAAAGGTAACTTCCAACAATCATGTGCTCGGTCCGACATGCGTACCTACACCTAGGTACGCGCAGGTACCTGCCTAACTATGGTGCCGTAACAACACGCGGAGATCCGCGTCACAGACACTGTCGCGTTCCGCGCACTTTCACACTTAAGTTTAACAGGACATCAAATGTCTAAATCATTCGTTAAGTAACTTTACTTATAGGTATATAAAGCCCGATGTTTACGAGCCTATTTTTAACATTTCTAAGTCTTGTGACTAGATTTTTCTTATCTAAATAATACGCAAGTAAATAACATAGGAATATTTGTACGACAAGATGCCATTGATCACGAGCGGTAACTCAAATGCAGACTAAGTACACGATACTATAAGATTAAACAAAATCACACCCAAATATGACAAAACTAGATAAGTATTTTTTATGTATAATAAATTAAGCTTAACTTAGTTCTTATGCAATACGATTGTCTTATACGCTTACTTATCTATATCAAACTGATACTTAATACGAACCGATTCCGTGGGAGATCGTAATCTATAAAACTTCCAATTAGTCTATAAAAATATTTTTTCAATCTAAACGCTTAAAAATAACGGAGTCGGTTCTAAAAATAGCAGGAGAATGCATTTTAAAGGCGGGAGTGGTCCTTGGGAAGTGTTGCTGCCTAAAAAGGAAGGCTGGCGCGAAACATATTTTCGATGAGAGGTGGTGCTTGCACTAAGTCTTCGAGTTTCAGGTAGAAAATGCGTTGAAGTCCCTGTACAGATAGGGAGCGCAGTTCAGGTAGGGCGCCAAGTACGCGGCTGAAGTGGGGGGCTCCGCTGGCACTTCCGCTTCCTCCGCCTGGCATATGGGCGCGAAGGCATCCTATTATTTTCATCTGCAGTTGCTCCACACGATGGGGTTCTTTTAGACCGTGTCTCTCTGATAACAAAATATAAAATATATTTTATATGTCGATTCGAATTATATTAATTTATAAACTTTATAAAAAGGATAATTGTGTCTATGTAATTTAATTATAATGAATAGCTGAATCATTTTATATTAAATTTGGTAGTACATGGATGACTAATAATTTTTATTTAGAAACAGACAAAAACATTATTGTACTTTCGATTTTTAACACTTGTTAGGATATTAAAAAAATAACGTTATTTTCATAATCATAAATATAATAGTAAATGTTTTAGTGCAGATATTTAATTCTAATACACTTATGAACACTAATTTAAAATTCTTTTGATGCTCCTAAATTGACAGGTAGAAATTTTGAGTATAATTTAAGAATAAACTATAAATATTGTATATTCATGTCGTTTGCTCTAAAAAAATATTCGTAATACTTTTCTTTTATAATTTTTTTTTCTTGCATATATTTAATAAATAAATGAAGTTAGTATGTTACTTTATTCCTTTAAGGAACGACAGTTGATAATACCGTAATGTAACTTTTACTTCTTTTTTCTATAGACGCCATGTTACAAATTAAGGAGACTGATTTATAATTTCATTTTATTGATTTAGCAAAAACTAATATAAAAAGAAGAATGTTTAGTTATACACACCTGTTATCAAGGTAAGTGCACAAAGACAGGCGAATGTAGAGATGTCTATGTCCATGGAGTGCAAAGTGTTACTGAAATCGAGCACAGCATGCAGCCAGTCTCCAAAGGATCGCTGACAATGTCTCTTGTCAAGTACGAGGCCATTGCAGAAGATAAGTTTGGTATCTTCAGGGCGAGTACGGTAGGCAAGTCGTAAAACAAACAGTTCGAGTCGGGCTGATGCAAATAATTGTTCACGGTCTTCAGGGCATAAATCTCCATATCCAGGAACTTTCTCAGCGAAAACCTTTATCATATCAATTGAGGTTGTTAGTAGAGAATAAAATTGCTGAATCACATCTAAATCTGACATAGGAGGTTCCATTGGATTTGGTTCCTTGTATTGTGAATAATCAAGATTTGCAAAATCAGGTGAAGTATCAACATGTGCTCTAACAAGGGCCGTAATCAAAGATATTGGAGGGCTTGGTGGTGATTCTTGAGGACATTTTGGTTTCGAAGGTAACCTTCCACGTCTTCCTTTTAAAGAATCTGTCCTTACGACTTCTTTAACCATACCAACTGCTAGACATTTCTGAAATCGGCAAAATTGGCATCTGTTCCGTCTTCTTTTATCAACAGGACATGATTTTTCGGCTAAACAAACATATTTAGAGCCTTTTTGTACAGTTCTTTTAAAAAAGCCTTTGCAACCTTCACATGTTCTAACACCATAGTGTTGACAGGCTGCCGTATCGCCACATACGGCACATAGTTGACTTGGTGAAGAAGGAGCGGCGCGTTGCCCTATTCCTTCTGGAGGAGCTCCCCCAGGAGAACTTGAAGCGGAACTAGGCGCTGATGCTTGCATGCAGTGTACTCTTCCACCATGTAGTTTTGGGCTATCATTAGAACTGCTAGATTCTGATCGTTGTACCGGCAACGATGCTCGTCGTTGCCTTGACTGATCTGTAGATATATGAATGTCTACCGAGCTTGGAAAAGGAGGCAGAGAATATGAATCCTGAGCGTGATTAATTCCACCTGTATCAAATGTTGGACTACAAGGTTGGGCTGGTGCGTAATAAGTTGATGGTACATAGGGAATTGACGGTTGGTGATATGGGTATAACAATTGTGTAGATGTATGTCCTTGGTGAGCGTATGAGCTAACATTGTAACAATCTTCATCCATTTTTATGCCAAATTCTGCCATTTCTTGTTTGGGGTAGCGAACTGAGTATGTTTCTTCAAAACTGGGCAGCGTTGGTCCTAAAGTAGGCGAAGAAGGGTCGCTTACAGGCGTCGTTCGCTGTGACTTAACTTCAACAGGAATAGGTGCGTGAAATTCAACGTCTGGAAATGGATCTAAATTTTCTTCTAAAATTTCAGTCGAGTCTTCTTGATATTGCGGCGATAATAAATCAGTGAAGGACGAACCGTAGTTGCTCTGAAATTAAAAAAGACAATCAATATTGGAGGCGTTATAGAAACGGTAGGCGGTAGTAGGTGTCTGGGGCGGCCACGTCCCACCAATGGCGTGCTTAATACATATTTGTCGCACCTTGCGGTCAACGACATTCAGGCATAATTTTTATATGGCTTTAATTTAAAGGGTGTTTTATTTAGATAATAATTCAATAGCCAATTTTTTATTATTATATATGTTTAAATAGGAATGTTAAATAGTTTGTTAAAAAGTAAAAATCTTGGTTTTAATTTCCTATTTTAAATTTATGTCCTTTCCATAGTATTCACACCAAAGGATACATTAAATTGGTAAATATTATCTTTTAAGAGGAATCATTTGTACAAAGTAATCCAGGCTGACCTATTTCTAATTCTAAGTAACTGGCTGCACCTTCTATAATGAAGTTTAGCGTTGACACATAACAGTGAAATTAATATTTAAATATATGTAAGTAAGGCGAAACACTTAAGTCTTTAAGAATGAACGCATTAGGGATAGCAAGTATGTCACAGTGTAATATTGTGACGTCTGCGTTGCAATTCATGCCATAGGCTAATGTTAGTATTTTTGAACGGCAGGTTATTTATTTGAATCATTCGAATTATAAATATGTATATATGTAATAATAATTATATAGTATTACTTACGTGTGTCTGCAGCAGTAGCATGCTGGAAGGGTTAGACGAAAAAGCGCTTGGCGAGCGCGGCTCTATGGCGCTCGGCCCTGCAACAACCAAACATTTCGATTTAAAAATTTACTATTACATTCAAGTTTTATTTATTTTTATACAAAACTATATTTTCACTGATTCAAAAATATTCCGAATAACGTATCGGCAACAAAATTGACAATAACAATGGAGGGGTGGATTGTAAATGTGCTAGGAAACGGTTAGATGTGGAATTGACGGCGCCGTCTTTTGAACTATCACGCTATACTAGCCAATGCCATGCATCTTTTATATTTACCCTCGGCGAACATACTTTGGTTCTTCCTTCACCGAGTACTCGTAACTGATAAATCGATAAAACTATCGCGATTTGTGTCTACTGACCAGCTACCGATCCCTACTCCACTATTACGAGTGAGGAGGAAAAAGAAAGGTCTTCTAATTTATACTGCAGTTTTGCCCACCGAATATTGGCGTTTTGAATACATTGTGTCACGGTGCTTGATTTGCCACGCCCCGAAAATTGAATCCTATGTATTCACCTAGTCTATGTTTAACAATGAAATGTAATATGTGCAGGTCTCCCTTCATTGCATATTAGTTTTTGGACCGAAGGAATTAAGTGTGTATTTGCATGATGATGGCAATACAAAATTTTTGGGGCGAAAAGTCGATGGATCCCTTGGGAGGTTATGAAATCAGTGGCATTTGCAATTTCTATTATGTTAAGAACCATTAATTCCAGTCTTAATAAGCTACAGACAAAACAGTATAAAGCTTTTGTTGTTGGAAAATTATTGAAAAATATGTAGGTATAATATTGTTGTTTGTATAGGTACCCTGGTGGTGTGCATACAACTATTATTATCTATTTTTGATTGATTAGGATATAATAAAGTATTGAAACACACACATTTACCTATAGAAATTTCTTAGTGTTGTATGTGTTTTTGATGAAATCTCTATTTTAATGTATAAATAAAATTGTAGTACACATGACGGTTATGATATGTATCATAAAAGAAATATAACACAACGTAGGTAAAGATTGGAGCGGTAAATAAGAATTTCTGAGAATTACGAGGTTACATTTACTGAAAAATATCTTCATAAAAAAAATCATAGAAAATTGATAAATCGACTGACAACAACGTTTTCATGCCCGAAGTATTGACCTATTAGAAATTTTCCTTCTGTTCTATACAATGAATTAAATAATTAAATACTTCTGTGTACTACTACTGTTAATTAAGTCTCACAATATAATTAGTTGTTTACTATTTACACGAGAGAACCATAAAAATATCTGTTCTTCCTTTTAAGAAATATATGTTTATAAAGTATTATAATATGATGACATTCAACATACACAGATTTTAATACTAATTTCTTGAGTACATAACACTCATTAACTAATATTTGCCAACCTGTCATAATTTAGTATATACCTACATGACTGCTGGGGTTTCTATAGGTCAAGTATCAACACTCTCACTTGTCCATTTTATAGTGTGGTTAGGTTTTTTTCTATTACCTATTTTTATTAGGTAATATTCATTATGAAAAAGGAGGAAAAAGTATTTGGGATTTAAATTGTGTTCATGATGTCTATTAAGTAATGTACTAGAATAACTTAATACATCGTATATTATATTACATTATTCCTTAACTTTATTTACATAACTTAATACAACTAAGAACCTAAAATTAAAAACCTTAAAAAATATAACATATTTATACCTTGAGTAGGTATAAATACGTTACATTATTTTCTAAAATATGTTATACAAATACCGTACACAACTATAGCGAGGAATGTGTTTATTTTAACTAAGTTCTTTAATGTTCATAACATTTGTGTATTTATGTTCACAGCATTACAGAAAATAACTCTACGTGTATAAAAAAATATATAACCTTTTGTTACAATGAGCAGTTGTCTTATAAATTTTACTATTGTTATTTTCTAAAATATATTTAGTAAACAAATCTTTTTATTTTACGTGTCTTTATGCCTTACCTATTTTAGTTAAAAAAACTTAAACAAGAATATTATATTTTAATTTTGAACCGGCGTACTTAGACTAAGTAATGAATTTAGGATTTCTGTGGGTTACGTAAAACATTAATCAAAAAATTTAAGAGAATTTGTTTTATTATATACTAAAACCTTGCCGCGTGTCTGTAACAAAGCAAATTAACTGCTATATTTGTTTGAATTTCAACCATATCTCTCTCGCCATTCTATAAACAAGCTCGTTTTTTTGTCTGGTTCGTAAGGTGGATTTGTAAGACAATAACTATTCAATATCAAGGTAGTCCTCAGGAATAGCAAGTTTAAGACCACAAGTCGTTAGCAAATAAATTTGCAATTTTGTAAGCCAGCGGCACTAATATTCTATTGACGACGGTTACAAAATACGGTCACATAACTATAAAAAAGTAAGATAAATCTTAATTCTACTCGTAGAGTAATTAATATTACAACGTATACTATAATATATAACCACCCACGATTTCCTTCTTAATGTTTTTCTCATTTCTATTGTGAAAATAAAAGTCGATAGTTACCAAATATAAAACGCCAAATCTATAATACGCAAGTGTGTTTACAACTACTGTCGCAAGAGAACGTACAGATACGTTGCCTTTTCATAACTAAACAGCTGACCGAATATTACCGTAATTTTACAGGAAGATAAATTGTAAATAAATATGAGTTTATCTAAGTATTAATTTTCAGAGCAGCGGCTACGTGAGGATTGAGAGTTCGCTCTTGCGAGTGGCTCTACCATTATAAGAAGGGGTATGAACGGAATATTATATAGCACGAAGGAAGGAAATATAGTGGTCCAGAATCTAGTTCAGAAAGATTAACGAAGTTTTAATGACTTCAATGTGAGATTATAGCAATATGAACAGCATCGTAATACCTAACCATTGTTACGTTATAATCACTGTTTATGGATTTACAAATTTTTTGAACTAGTCTTATCTAGTCTGTGACTTTCCCCGGCATCGCATGGATGTAATTATTGAGGGAACTTATTTTTTTTAATATAATAAATTCCTTGTTTCTAGGTGATACGATCACCTAGTTTAGTTTTCTACAGAAGAAATATAAGTTAAAATCGTAAGTACGTATAGTTTATTATATATGAAAAAATATAACTTTCTTTTTTCCTCTATAATATTAGTTGAAATATTTTCTTAGAATATCGATTAAGATATAATCTATATATTGATGTTGTTATGCTAAATGTATAATATTCTACTAACATATTTGAAAATAAAGCTAAAATCTTTTATTATTTATTATTAATTAAAACTTATGTTAATATTACAAGAATTTAATGAATTTTCTAGTTTTATAGATTGGTTAGCTAATACTAACCAAATTTAAAATAAAGTTAATAGAAATTAATGCTGGTCATAAGTGGAGTAATATATCTTACTAATATTATAAACGCGGAAATTTGTGAGTGTGGATGGATGGATATGTGTTGGATACACTTTCACGCAAAAACTACTGAAAGCATTTTAATGAAACTTTACAATAATATACTTTCTAATTCAGCATTACACATATGCTATCAATTTAATGCAGGTAAAACCTACGGGCACAGCTAGTATTGTTGTGGTTGCGACATCTTTTGGAATACCATGAAACTTATTATTTAACCATGAACTTAACTCTTCAAAGCTTTGTAGCTTTGTAAAGTTCTCGTCAACCCTGCACTTAATGTTTATATTGCTGACACGAGTAAGCAGTAGAAACTGGCCCTACTCATATTCAGTACCCCCGGTAGATGGCGCTGAATGCCAGCAAACAAGCTATTGATTGTGCTAAGCAACCACCCCACTAGTCTCCACGGGAACGGCTGTAATTGTGTAGAATCACTACATATGTATTTGTGTATTCACACTGCCATATGTACTTCAGCTATTTGTTTGTCATAATGGCGTGGGAGCTTTCGTACGCCGCGCCGCGGCACCGCCGTGACGTTTATGCGCGTAGCATTTTTGCGTAAGAGTCACACCAATACGTATTACTGAAACTTGAGTATGATTCGATGCGGACATTATTTATTGACGTTGTTTTGATATGTATAATTGCCGCTAAGATGGATATGATTACAGTTGGCTGTCATTGTAATGTAAGCGAAAATGACGATTTTAGATCGTCACTTTTACGTATAGGTGTTGATATTCTATTAACGGTGATCATTAGTTATACACATAAGTTGTATTTTAGAATATGTTTTCTAAATTACAAAAATATTATAATACTTATAGTGAGGAAAATGGAATTCACTTTAGCAAATAGATAATTATTAAATATTTGCAAAAAAAATCCTTTTTTTCAATTGAAATATGCTTAAATAATAAATTATTGTTCAATTAATGTTATTTGGACAGATACGCAACCCGGATTTAAAGGCCGCGTGCTACTATTTCAATACACTATTTTCATCTTTTAACTTTGCTATATAAAAAGCTTTGTAAATTATTTATTATGATAAACCATTAATTAAAATGCATTGAAACATTATTTAAATGCATTTTAATTAATGATTTTAAAATGTTGTTGTCGCTAACACTACTATATATGACTAAACGTGGTTATTATCTTCTCTAAGATAATCTATGAAATAGTAGTAAATTAAGCAAATTAAAACAATAATTTAAAAAATTGCTCACGGAAGTGACAACGATAAAAAATAAGGACTTCGTCATCGACCGATAAAAATTGGCGAACATTGTGATTGGTATACAAACCAGTTTTATTATAAATTTTAATTATGACAAGTTTTAGTTGTTGCGGATCCTAGCAATGACAGAAGATACGGTTTAAATATAGGTCATTGGAAAGTTTTGTCTAATTACAAAATAATTTTACTTAATGTTTTCCATAAAATTACTTACGAAGTTACGCGAGAAGTTGAACATACTCTAGTACGAAGTTGTTGATTGAAGTATTAATTTGAGAGACCACTCATACTCCCAAATCTCTTTTAACCAATTCACAATTTGAAATAATATCTGAAATGTC